ATATAAGGTTCAGTAGACTAATATAATCATGCTTAAAAGTCTGATTTCCCCCCTGTCACTGTAAAATAATACAGTTCTCAATTTACTTTTTTTCATAATTGAAAACCAGGGTTGGGTTGATTTAAATCGGGTCGATTTAAATCAGTTGATTTTTAAAAATTTAAATCAACTTGATTTAAAAAAATAAAACTCAGTGATTTAAATCACTTTAAAAAAATGTTTTCTGTTTTTACATCTTTAAACATTCAGAATTCCTTTCCTTGGTTTTATAAAACAGATATAAGATTTAGTAGACTAAAATTGCTTAAAAGTCTGCTTCCCCCCCCTGTCACTGTAAGTAGTAAAATAATACAGTATTCAATTTACTTTTTTTTCATAATTGAAATTAGCATTTTCTTTTTCTTTTTAGACAAACACAAGCGCGTGCTCACACACACACTGTAATAAAAATAAAATGCAAGTTTATCTATGCATAATTCCCCCCCCCCCCCCCCCCCTTTCCTTTTAGACTGACATTTTCTTCATTTTTTGTCTGTAGCCATAATTCACTGATATAGCAGATTAAGGCTTTCTAAAATTGCAGTTGCTTAAATTAATCATTAGTTAAAATAAAGACAATGCATTTGGCACTAAAAGAACATACTTTTAGCCACCAAAAATCCCAAACTGTGTCGACATTTTAAAAAAAAAAATTTTTTTAAAATCTGATTTAAATAAAAAAAATCGATTTTTTTTATTTTTATTTTAAAAAATATAAAAAATCACCAACCCTGATTATGTTAGATCTAGTCCACTAAACCTTATATCTGTTTTATGAAACCAAGGAAAGGAATTCTGAATGTTGAAATGTGTGAAAATGAATAAAAATAAATTTTTAAAAAAGTGATTTAAATCACTGATTTTTATTTTTAAAATCAAGTTGATTTAAATAAAAATCAGTTGATTTAAATCGACCTGATTTAGATCAATCCAACCCTGATGAGGTCTGCTTTTCCCCCTTTCACTGTAAAATAATACAGTATTCAATTTCTTTTTTTTTTTTCCATAATTGAAATCAGAGCTTTGTTGATTTAAATCGGTTGATTTTTTTAAAATTTTAATCTACTTGATTTTTAAAATAATCATCAGTGATTTAAATCACTTTTTACTTTTTTAAAAATGTATTCAGTTTTTACATCTTTAAACATTCAGAATTCCTTTCCTTGGTTTTATAAAACATAGCTCAACTTCCACCTGAACAGAATAAACCCGAAACTTCCCCCAATGTGTCCCTTGTGTGACTATGCATATGAGACTGGAGCATCACCTGTTCCACTGCGCAGCCCTAAATGACATCAGAGCTACCCTTCTCCCTCCGAGACCTAACATTGACAACACACTCTATGGAACATTACAGCAACTGCAGCAAACCTGCACTTATCACTACATGGCATTGGACAAAAGGACGAGAGCCCAGCTGTTGCTGGATCGATAACAACAACAACATAAAACAGATATAAGGTTTAGTAGACTAATATTTATATCATGCTTAAAAGTCTGCTTTTGGGTCCGCTCCACAATTTTATTCACTGGGCGGGAAGGCAAACGGACGAACTCTAGCAGACAAAATACTTGACGTGAGATTAGATCCATCCTCTATTGTTTGTTAATTAGGCCTGATGTTTCAAACCACTAGTGGTGCCACAGGGAGTGAGAGAGGCTGGTGACATAGTACTATGTGTGTAACCTTTCACCTCGTGCATGGGGCACAATGTTTACATTCCAATTATCTCAAAGGCCGGGGAGGGGGGAATTTCCGTCATGAACACCTAGCTACAATGTGAGGCAGGAGGGTGATTTTTAAAAAAAAAAAATTTTTTTTGGGGGG